TTGATTCGCCGTTCAGGCTTTCCACCGGACGGGAGCTATGAGCAGATGCCTGAAGTTTACCTTTGCCCCTGCTGCAGCGAATTCTCAAAACTAAGTGAGCGCGACCGACTCCTCCGATTGGTGCAGGCTGAAAAGGAAGCTGAGCGCCGCAAGATCCTTCAGCTGGACGTTTTTGATGAAAGGGCTAAACCACTACCCTTTGTCGGTGGCCCGCGACCCCCACAGTGGGTTCCTGAGGATGATGAGGCTATCCATATACATCCCAACGTGCCACCACCGCCGACCTTTGACGAGCTTCAGCGACGCCAGAACCGAGGAGATGATATGAGGCTGGTGGTCACAGTGCACCACGGCAAGAATCTCGCTGCTTCATCACACGATCCCATGTCTGTTGTGGTTCGCTGTGGGGGGTTCGAGGGACAGACCGTGAAGATCCCTCTAAAAAAGGGAACACTGACAACCTGGGACGAACTCTTTGAGTTCCCGTGCCAGAATACCAATGAACCGCTTGAGATGCTGGTGCTAAATGACCACATGTCAGGAGACCACGTGCTGGGAGGTATTTTGATCCCAAATGAATTGGTAAGTGACGCTACGTGTGGAGATGAAACGATACTCCCCATCGAGCCACGACGCAATACCTCAGTTTTGATGCCTCTTTGGGATGGTGTTTCCCGAGAGGGCACTATGGGTTCTATGGTAGTGTCCTGGTATGTCAGCAAAAACGGGCAGGATCGCATTGACGAGACGGCCATAGAGCAGCAAAAACTTGACGAGCCAATCCGATGCAGCTTCGTAACTCACCACATCTTCCAGTACACTGACACTGGCAGTGAGCCGTTCTCTGGTGGTGTGTTGTGTGTACTACGCGACACGGATGACAATTGCTCTGAGTCAATGCTGTATAACCTTGGTTCAGATCATGAGACATCGTTTTCACCGTACTTTTCAAAGGAAGGTTATCACTACCTTCCAGAGAACGCGTTTAAGGCAACGCAACTCATTTCAAATAAGAAACTCGGTCACATTTTGATCTGTGTTCCCAAAGAGGAGGGCAACTCGGCTAACGAGGAGGAGGAGCTTCTTGTCATCGGCGCGGTGCCTCTCGACTTTGGACGGCTGCATCAGCGAGGTAATGCAGTGTTACTCATTGAGTCAAAGTCCAAGGATGACGCTATCTGGGGCGAGATCTACGTTGAATGGGACAAACGCTTGCTACACGAACTCAATGATAAGCCAGCACTCACACAAGTGCCAAAGGAATCCGTTTTTGTGTCAGTTGTGCGCGGTGTCAACCTCACAAAGTATGAACAAGAACCACTGGAACAGGCCATGCTAACGATCTCTACAGAAAACTTGGAGGGTACCACAATGATGGGAATAAAGACTAAGGATGAAGCTAACGATGACGACGTCATTCCCTGGAACCAAGAGATTCGATTCATCGGGGTAGATCGCAGTGATAACAAATTGGATCTGGTAGTGTTCGGAGAAGAAAACCTTCCAGTTTCGGTTGGCAGTTGTGTACTCAATCAAGAGGAAGAGGGTGTATGCATTGTAAAAATGCATGAAATTTCCAAGCCCGACGAGGATCGTGGTGAGATCTTATTGGGCTACAGGCGTCTCCATAGTCATCATCAACCACGGAAGTTTATTGCTAAGAAAGATAGCTTCTCTCAAGGTGACGAAGAATATGAGGAACAAGAGGTATCAGAGGAACAAGAGGAGCCCGACGATGTTGAGGATAAGCAGCCGATGGAAATTGAACGCGAAGATGATTTTGAGAGAGACGGAGAATTATATGATGAGTTACCAGATGAAGCTTACGCAAACTCTCGTCTGTACGAATCACCTGTTGATGACTTAAATCAATTCAGAGGCGAGGAAGATGACAATTATGAAATGAACTTTGATGATGAAAATGGAGATGAACTTGACGAGAATTATCTAAGAAATGAGTCAAAATTGTCTGGGAAAGGGAAATCATCCTCTTTACAATCCCTGAATCGATACAAATCGCCCTCAGGACCACACAGCATGAGGTCTCCCTCTGCTTCTGAGCGTGACCTGCACAAAACGCCATCAGAGTCACGTGTCGCAGTGTTGCCTTCTGCTGTTGAGCATGACCTGCACAAATCGCCCTCAGGACCACATAGCATGAGGTCTCCCTCTGCTGCTGAGCGTGACCTTCACAAATCGCCCTCAGAGTCACGTGTCGTAAAGGTGTTACCTTCTGCTGTTGAGGGTGACCTTCATAAATCGCCCTCAGAACCACGTAGCACAAGGAGGTCTCCCTCTGCTGCTGAGCGTGACCTTCACAAATCGCCCTCAGAGTCACGTGTCGTAAAGGTGTTACCTTCTGCTGTTGAGGGTGACCTTCATAAATCGCCATCAGAACCACGTAGCACAAGGAGGTCTCCCTCTGCTGCTGAGCGTGACCTTCACAAATCGCCATCAGAATCACGTGTCGCAAAGGTGTTACCTTCTGCTGTTGAGGGTGACCTTCACAAATCGCCATCAGAACCACGTAGCACAAGGAGGTCTCCCTCTGCTGCTGAGCGTGACCTTCATAAATCGCCATCAGAACCACGTAGCACAAGGAGGTCTCTCTCTGTGAGCTCAAAAGGCGGAAACAAGTCAGACCTTCCTGTACATCCACAGAAGGCTTGGTCTCAACCTGCAGAGGACAAATCGATACAACAGAGGGAAGCCACCAGTACCCTTCATAATGAACGTGCACACGCCAGAAAGCCCGCGGAGGAACCTGTGTACCTGCCACCACCAACACCACCACTCAGCAACGTTTTTTCGGATCATGCGCGTGTGTCCAAATCATCTGCTTCCTCCAGTCGCCGTCGCCAATCTACGGATAACGGAGGTTCTTCGCGAAAGTCGCAGGCATACATCCAGCCCTGGTTCCCCGCTGGAAATGCGGAATCGCAACAACATGTTCCGTATGAAAGGAGCACGCTATCAATGAAAAATAAAGAAAGTATTCGCGAATTGGAGCGTCGTCGTTCTCGCCTCGAGGAAGAATCGGTTCGACGTGGTACCTCACCACGCGTTACGGGCACACTCGCTCTCCCTGAAGAGTCGAAAGATGACTTGTAATCCGGGAATGGGTGGTATTTTGAAGACGAAAAGAATGTCTTAAGGGGGAATAACGGTTTCATTTTGATTCATATCTATAACATTTTCTATATATTCATCCTTTTATTATTATTATTACTATTATTAAAAAGGAGCATTAAACCTTAAATCATTCGGTCGGAATGTAATTTCTTGAAGTGAGAATAATATTCATACGAATTCCAGAAAGTAATAACTGACATAAAGTTGACTTATGACAGTGTCAAACAACGGAGCCAGCTTTGCTGTTCTGAGGGCTTTCAAGTGCAGTTTTAAAGTAGTGTGTCATTAAAACTCGTTGTTGAGCCTAAGTTTCTACAATAAGCATCAGAGTGAATGATTCTTTTATGCAGCTCCATCATTGACATTACTCTGATACAACTTTCACTCTTCACTTTTACCTATTGTGCAGTCAGAAAAACTGCTTGTATTGAATAGATAAATTAAAGGTTTACACACACACACACACGCGCGCGCACACACACACACATATATATAAACTTCTTCTGAGTCTCTTCATTATTGACAGCTATTGTGATAATTATTTATCAGCACACACTATGATATATATTTCTTTGTTTCTTTTTTCATTTAACTGGTGTGTTCGTCATTTTAATTGATTATAAGAAAAATTATTGGAATATTGAGTGTCAATTTTGTATTTGTAAGATACTATATGGTTAGAATACAAGCTTTCGCTAAAGCAAAGCAAACAGGGCGGACTATGTTCTATACAAAAAAAAATTTCAAGATACGGAAAAGGGATTGAAATAATAGTATACATTATCAACTTATAAATGTTTGTATGTTAGTATATGTGTTTGTATACATATAGGTGTAAGCATTCGCATAAGATTTCTATTTTTATATAAATATATATACATACATACATATATATAAATATATGTGAAAAGTATTATATACGGTCATATAGAGGTAAAATGTAGGGTATATCGTTTAGTAAGGTTTAACTCAGGGAAACAAAATTACGCCAAAGTCATGGAGAATTTACCAAAATTCTAAAAGATGGTTTATCCACCATTAGAAGGATATTATAGCTTAATGTTGAAGTAAGTAACAGAGATGAGGGAATTAGGGGTTATTATGCCTTTTGTCGTATGTGGGTTTTCTTCCTTTTCCATATTTTTACTTTTCCAAGTTCTCTGGCGTCGTTTTGTATGCGTCAGAACATAGACTACCGTACTGAGTCAGGATAATAATATTCACAGAAAGGAATAGAAGGTAGGAACATACAGTAAATAAACTAAAAGAAGGTATTTAGCCTGATTTTTTTGTGGTCACGTACTAAAATTTAAATGGAAGGCAATGTGATTGATCAGGTACAGAGATACCTTCTAGACAGCAAAGCTGAGAATCGTCAGAAGGGCGTTAGACTCATGATTACCAAGACTGACGCCTTGTTTCGTGATTTCCCCTCGGAGGATGCTTGTTCGAAGCTCCTCATAGAACGAAGCCGCATAGAGGAGATATTTTTAAATACCCCCTCGGCAGTTCAACGACATGGCGGGGTCGTTGCATTGCGTGCTATTGTAAAAGGACTACCCTCGCAGCAGTACCCTCCTGAGTTCGTACGACTCTTTTGTATTCCAATTTTCAATAGTTTTATGGATGGTGACCCGGTCGTTCGTGTCGCTGCTACTGAAGCAACTTATGAACTTCTGCGCAAGCTGAATACGCAAGTCCTTCAGGTTGTATTCAAAGAGCTGTTCGTCGCCTTGTCTTGCGCGATAAATGACAAAGATTGCCGTGCGTCTCTACTTGCACGAGAGATATCCAACATGCTTCGTGAACGTTTGAGCGGAAATGATGACTTCAGTCTTGATCTCGGTGTGTTTGTGCAATTCATATGTGAAACCCTTGAGCCCCACAGCAGCGCCTCGCTGCCTCCTGAGTTGCGACTCTCAACGAGTGGTTTTAAGGAGTCACTCGTAGTGCAGTGGGTTTTAGAATGGATAAGCCATGTTTTAGATATGCCTGGCCACCACCTTATCGACTATCTTCCGGACTTCCTTCCAATTCTGTTTGCGCTACCTATGAAAACAACCGAGGACATGCTCTGGAAGCTGTTACAGACCTGCCGATCCGAGTTCAGAAAGGCCCTTAGGGTGGGAAGGTCTTCTTCTGACTCGGTGTGCATCATATTGCGTATCCTTATATCAATCGTTTACACTATAGAATACCCTCTCTCAAAACGATTATGTTTTGAGTGGATGTGTGATCTTGTGGATCAAGGCAACCAAGCATCGGCGTCCGGTTCACAGATACCTCTCTACGATGCTATGCTTCTCTGCGCGCTAAGACACGTAGGTTCTCTAGACTCTCAGTTGGAGGAAGCGGTACGGCGTGTGAATAGTGAACTGATGTCTGTTGTGATTCGTTCAGGTGCTAAAGCATCTGGAAACTCTCTTTCAAATATTCTGGTTACGATTACAGATTTGATGGGTACTGGAAAAGGGTGTGCTGAAACTCACCTAGCCGCGCTTGAGTGGATCATATTGTTGCACCATCAAGACGTGAAACTTGTGGAAAGTTGCTTTGACGATATATCAAAAGCCATTCTCACGTTACTAGGTGATAAATTGACTAAAGTTTACACTAAGGCCATCGAAGCACTTTGTCTCGTTACGAATGAGAAGCATTTGAAGTCGCTACTCGATGGCATATTTCTCATGGTTAGACAAATGCCGTCCGTTTTACTTCCCCGTTTATCGGACATTTTGAAGCAGATGCAGGTGTGCTTTGAGAGTTGCGATCAGGCTGGGGACCAGTGTGACACATTGCTGGTGGCGATATGCAACACACTCCCTGAAATATCTGATAAGCGCTTCGTCTGCAAATGCGTTATCACCCTAAACAATGTGCTGCTCACCAGTTCTGAGTTTTCCAAACTGCGCCAAGTACTGAAACAAGGTGTTGCGTCTTCAGAGCAGGTACGTAATATCTTTGTTCAATTGGGCCGCGGTTGGAGTTTTAATGGCGTCGCACTCCTCGCTCTGTGCTTGCTCACTCGCTCCTACAGACTGTCGTTGGCAATCTGTCAGTATCTTGGTGAAATTGAGCTTTCCCCTAGTACTCTTTTCCAAGTCGATCGCCTAGCTCAGATGCTTGAGGGACCTGTGTTTTCATTTCTTCGTGTGGCCATGTTGACTCCGTTACAATGCATGCCGCTAATCCAAACCCTCTTCGGACTCCTTCTCCTTTTACCACAGACTTCTCCACAGTACAAAATATTGTACAATCGTTTGAAAGTGGTTCCTAGTTTGGCTCAACTGGGACGGGAGGAAAGTGGACCTGTTCCCCCTGGGAAAGGCCAAAATAACGAAGAGGACAAGTTATGGGTTGAGGTGCACGAACCCTTATTTCATGACTTTAAAAGATGTCAAGAGCATGTTACTGCCTTCGAACAAAGTGCTGATTTGTAGCTAAGATAAGTTGTAGAGTGATCACAAAATATGCTGTCTTTTCTCATAATTCCTGCAATTTAAAATGTTGTCGTTCTGAGTGTCAAATTACGACTCTGTGTTCCCCATGTGACTGCTTCTATCGTCGACGAGTCCAGTCTTACCATGTTTCAGGGAATTTTATTTTACTTTATTCTTTAGGTCTCTCTTTTTAAAACTATAGCACACTGACGCATTCTTAACGACTGGCGACTGTCGCAATCTAGACTGGTATTCGTATTGATTAATTAACAACAACAATAAGCTATTTCGAAACTAATGTCTGCAGCGGTTCAGAAACAGGTAATCCCAAAGTTTATACCGAAGCCATTTCATAGGTGGTTAGGCAATGACCGTCTATTCAAATGCCTCATTCCTCTAGAGAGGTATACATTGGTGCGCTACTTTAATTCAGTTTACAATACTGCCCCCCTCTTTAAGTGGTCGCTCTCAGTTGTGCCATTATATTCAATTTTTGCTGAATCCAAACCAGTCGACAAGCTTGACGTAAACTCAAGTGTGGCTTTGTTTTCAACCGGTTTCGTCTGGACTTTCTACTCGCTGATGATTCAACCTCAGAATTCAGGAAGCCGTTCATTAGCTCTTGTCAACTTATGTCTTGCATGCGTTCATGGATACAACTGTTTCAGAATTCTATCATACAATTTGGAACAAGGTAAATTGGCAAAAAAAAATAAATAGGATAGGGTGCTTTGTGAGGTTTTGTTTTTATTGAAATTATGTGACAGAGGCGATCTTGTCTACGAATAATAGAAGCGAAGTCAGTGAACTGTTAGCGCCTTTCGAATTATATTTATAGAAAGTATTCCACCAATTCCTATAGGAAAAAAAGGTAGTTAAATGGAAGGTATATATGTTTTCTAATTTGTTCATAAATTTAGCAGTAAAGCGTAATGTGGACCAAAAAAAAGATCTTTACAGATAATTTGGACGCAAAAAAAAAGGAACTTTGTCAGACCCTAACTAGGTGTATTCTTACACGCATTGTTGCTTTCAAACTTGTTGACAAGCAACTAGCATCTTTTCGTTCCAATCTCCTTTTATTCACTACTGTCATCATTTTTTGAAGGGATCGTGATGCTTGTCTTCAATCGCACCTTTGTGCTGCTCCGACCATTCCGACAGGTTGCATTTGCAAAGCGCAGTAGCGCAGGCGGCATCAACCACAACAAGGGCGCGCTTAGTCCATCGGAGCGAGGTGATCCTTTTACGGAACCAATGGTATATCGCAACCGAAAAAATATAACTGCTCAAATTAAAACTAGTAAAAAGGAAAAGTTTCTACTTCGGCAAGACCTTCACAACTCACTTATGAATTCAGTGAATATAGACATTCACAAAGAGGAGCAGCTTCGAAGTGGTCATTCCATCCCTCTGACACCGGATGAGGTCAAGGCAAGCCGTGCTATGGATGAGGCAGAGGTTGTCCATGGTATGAACACGCTGGATGCAGATTATACGACTCAGGTGCAGCTTCTCATGAAACGGGAAGCCGAGCGCCGAGACCATGTGCTTGATAAATTTGGGCAAGCCCCGACATCCAGAGAGTTCTACAAACTCTTTCAGAGTCTGCGTGCAGCCGACGATGCTGAAGAGGTGGAGAAGTACCAAAAGCGCCTTGTTGAAGAGAATGGCATTTATCCTTTGACCCGCATCGATGCGTTCATGCTGGATGATGATGGTTATTTCCCTGAATGGGTTCAAGATTTACCATACACGATACGTGATCGCGTCAAGTACGGCTCCTTGGGGCTGACCGAAGAGGATGAAGCTCTTAGGATTCACCTAGGTCGACTTCCACGCGACAAGCGGCTAAAAGAGTGGGATCGACTCAAGGCGGCGAAGATGTACCGAGCTGCGCATGAAGAAACGTTGACAATGGCAGAGCTGCGCGATGCTCGACAAGGCAAGCGGCGCTTTCATTGGCTACAGCGCAAAAGGCAAAAACGTGCAGCGAAACTGAGGCGAATGGCGCTGCGTAAGCCCGATGGCTATGAGGAGTGGCCTTCTTCTGCTGTGGACTATAGTCAGCGAATAGCCTTTATCGCACAACACGTGGAGAACGGCCTTCAGACCGGTGGGCAGTGGCCCCTGGACCCAGAACTCCTGCTAAGAGCTAAGATAGAACGAAAACAGAAGGCATCTGAAAGAATGTTTTTAATGTCGCCGGATGAAAAAAAAGTCGCTAAAAAGTCTTTCATCAACCCTGGTATTCAAGAGCTGCTGGCCTCCTTTGACGCGCACGAAAAACCCTTTAAGCGCCTTTCCAGGAAGACGTATGCGAATCGCGTTAATGCAGTCGTGCATGGTGACCAGGACGAGCATGGCAGAAAGTATCGGAGGATGCATGCATTAGCCACGCGGCGAACCCGACCTTACGAGTCAGTCTCGGAAATAGGACTTGAAAAAGAGGTTCGTAACGAACCACGTGTGAATGTCAGTGGTCTCAATCATGCTGACGATGAGCATTGGACGAAGCACTACAAATCATGGCGGGATGGGTTGCCGTCAATTAGATATGGATCCTAATGATCATGACTGGAGGAGGTGGTCTATTGATTCATACCCTTTCTTACGTAACAAACACTTTGGTAGTCCCAGTCGCATCACTTCAAAACAAGGTTTGACTGAATTTCAGAGTGCTTGTTTGTGTGTGTGTGTGCGGATTCCTGGTTGAAATCTTGCACCATTTTTATGTCTTGTTAAAAAGACGATACCTTCATTATGAAGCGAATGAATTGTTGGTGAATGATGCGCGAGAAGAAGTTGGATTGTCACGGATTTTCCCCAAAAAAAAAGTACGCTCCAGTTTGCTAATATTAGAATACTTCTCAATTTTAACAATTCCGATCAAAGTCTTTATATACCTGAATGTGCTTGCTAGTTTTCCTAGGGTTTCTTTACTAAGCAAACATCATCTTTTCCTCTTTCTCTAAATGAACGGTTGGTTAGCTACCAATGAATCCACCATTTTTGCCTAAACGATGTGCCATTGTGAGCAAAAATGGTAAGCAATATTTGTTTCTTGTAGTCCCCAATCCAGCGCCACCACCCAAACCAATCATCGAATCGTTAATGGAATTTGATAGCGCCCCTGAAGCTGACTCAGAATCAAATGTCCATGCAACTGATTCAAGTGGTAGCACCGATAGTACGAAGTATGCCTCAGGTTCGGCCTGGCGATGGGGGTCAAAAGTGGTCCTCACAACTGTGGATGATAGCGGCGATTTCCGCATTTCGGCTTCTTTCAAAAAGACCGAGTTTGTATCACTTGAAGATGCGTATTCTCAGTGCGGACCTTTTGACGAGCTTCATGAATACCACACACAATTTGGCTGTGTTGTACTTGATAAGGCTTACATCTTAGTTGCCTCGTCAATAGAACAGGCTGTTGTCTTACCTTTTAATGGCCATATTTTTAGAGTGCTCGAAGCAAAGTGGATTCCCTTTGTTTTACCTCATGTATTGCCAGTCAAGATGAGCTCTACAGATCAGAATCGTTTGGAGGACTTCCAATTTCATTACGACAGCAAAGGATATTACTACTCGGATGATGTTGATTTGCGACTTCAGTTTCCTTTCATTCCTTCCAAAGATGAAGCAACACAGCAGGACTTTTTTTGTGATTGGTCCCATCATCTTAGAAAACGCTTTAGCTCACCATCACTGCATAGAGCGTGCAGCATATTGATCCGCGGTTTTGTGGGTGAGCGGGTATGTCCTTTAACTGACGGCGGTGAGCTTCATATGATGCTCTTGGGACGCCAGAATTACCTGAACCCCGGGCCTCGTTATTTTGGACGAGGTCTCAATGATATCAACGCAGTAGGCAATGAACATACATATGAATACATCATGTGGAAGAATCAGGGCGGTATGTCCGTAGCGTATGCTCGCCACACAATCCTTCGTGGGACAATTCCAGTACGTTGGACAAGCCAGCCAGGCATGGCAATATCAGAGCCACGCATGATTTTCAGCACGGACAAATCTGACGTTATCCGAGGCTCTAGTGCGTACTTTGAAAATCTCTTCGGAATGCTTCAGAGAATATGTCGAGGGGACACAGCTAATGCGGATGATGTGACCATGTCCAGCCCCAAGCTGTGCTGCATTAACCTTCTTCGGTTCAACACGCACGCGGATGAAAGTGCCTTGACTCAGTACTTCACAGAATCGGTGCGCCAGGCGGAGACAGTTTTAAAGAAAAATTTCCAAGGAAGCTGTATTGACCTGGCTCACGTGGATTGGTTGACCCTAACAAAGGAATATGGCATTGAGTTCACCATCGCTTCATTCTGGCAGTCCGCGATGGGCTTCCTCGTGGGACAAGGGGACCCGGTAAAGGACTCCATAAAGTCAGTGGGAGTCATCAGAGCCGATGGTACCGTGGATCGCTTGATGGCCCAAACACGCTTTCTTCGCATTAACTGTGCCGACTCGTTGGATCGTACAAACTTGGGTTGCTTTTTCACTTGTCTCCAGGTCAGCATTGGGATGCTCCTTACGCTTCACGTCCCGTTTAAGGGATTCCGCTATAACCAACCGCTTCGCCCGATCAGAGATGTCAGCGAGGTGGATAGCCCCAATGCCTATGCCACATCCTTTGCGCCCATTTCCGATTTAAGGCAAACAGTGCCCAAGCCTTACCTGAATATCTGGGACGAGGCATACGACCCCGATCGATTACCTGGAGCGGTGGCATGTGCATTGGCAGGACTCTTTGTAGACAACGGCGATTGTGTAGCGATGTTGTATACCAATTCCCAGGCTATGCACAGCAACCTCCTTCGGGGGATCTTTGGGGCGCGGTCAACTGGGTCAAACGCCCTCATCGCAACGCAGCGGAGGTACGAGAACGTGTTTGAGGATGGAAAAAAGTTCAGAAACACTGAACTTCTTCTCGGTCGAAACTATGACGTTCATTTACCGTCTGTAAGCCCAATCTTCCTGACGCGGCCTGTTGCCTATCGCCAATGGGTATGCGCTCTCGTCGTGATCGGATTGAAAAGTGGCGTTCAGGCCACTGAGGTGGAGGCGGCTGTTTGCCAGGCGTGGGATAACAACGTCGTCCCGCAGCTGCTTCAACGCGGGAAGGTACCGATTGAAAGCAGTGCGTTATGCCTCAATATCACGGTGAAGCCGGAAAAGTGTGTGAATCAGTTTGATGCCTTTTCGGCTGCGATGCAATCTCCACCCAATATCGATTCATCCCGTGTGTTGGACGAAGAGGAGAAGGCGAATATGACCTTCCGAGATGAAAAGTTCGCGGTTATTCAGTTTGACCCCGACGTCTGCTGCGTTCTGGACGCCCCTGCTTTACTTCAGCAGTATGGTTGCATTTTCATAAGAGGACATCTCTGCACACTGGCCCAATACTCGTACCCCATTATGGATGTCGAGAATTCTCATAGAATGAGTGCAACGATAAAGAATGTCAGTGCAACGTTAAAGAAAGGATTCAAGAAATTTGTTCGAAACCTCAACTGATGTAGTGATGATGGTGGGATGGGTGGGTTGACTTCCCCTCCCTCCTCGATTTTCATAATGAACAAAAGGGGTGTTGAAACGAGAGGGACTGGAGCGAATTGTGGTGGTATACGTTTTAAAACTCTTTATAAACCAATAAAGACTGACTCTTTCTCTTTTTCACTATGTATTTCTGTATGCAGTGGTGGTAAATGTAGTATCTAAATTAATCATCTATGATCATGACACATTTTTTTTAGCTTCATTGTATAAGGAACCTGGGTTTTATGGTAACTATCACGATTGTTGCAGAACTAAGATAAACCTTGAAGCTTCGTTCCGTTTTGCGCTGGAAATGACCTCAATTCACAATTCAGTAGTCCACTGTTGTGGTACAAAAAAAGGTATCATGGGATGGTCCACGAATACGGTCAGATTTTTTGCTGTCTTTACATAATGCCGTTTTACGGCGTAAAACATATTGATTGCCAATGTCTTGCCCCTTCCTTGTTGTAATTTATCCAGTGCTATGACTTCATTATTTAAATGAGCAAAGACAAGAAATAATGGTGCATTATTTTTATTTACTCTTCTGTATTCTCAGTTTTTAGATGCATTGAGATCCGGCGCTGTTTTATTCAGCGCATCTTGCTGCGGTCTTATTTTTGATTTGTCAATGCAGTAGTTTCCAAGGTCAACCGTATTACTATAATCACCAGGTTCCTTTTTTTCTTTTTTACCCGCCTGTTGCAGTAACACTTGATGGGGATCCACAACACACTTTGCGACGTCTGATGTAAGTGAGTACCATAACATGGGGAAAAAAACGCTTCTTTTGATTTTGCGCGGCGAATATACTCGCGTTAATAACTCAGAGTTGCGAAGTTTGGGTGAGCTCCCACATCCATACTCATAGGGGCTGGTTTAGCCCACTCGCTGCAGTGCTCGCCTGTACACAACAAGACTGACTTATAGTATCTTTTGGTTTGTACCAATGTTCCCCCGCAACGTATTTAAATTTCTTTTTTTTTCGTCAACCACTCTATCTATCGCGTCCATTTGTGAGTAGGCTGTAGGGATGGTATTGAACCTAATAGGTTAGTGTCTCTTACGTTTGCTTCTCGGAAAATCTCCTTCACTAAAGCCTTTGCTTGTTCTAAAGACGCACCCTTTAAGTACTTCCTGCTCAAAGTTTCTTTGATTTAAGTGGCTGCATGCAATAGCATTTTGTCAGACACTAAGAAGAAAAAGAAATTCTGTGCAGCAATCCATTTTTATTGGAATGAGTTCTTCGTGACATCCGACATGAAGAACCTTATGACGGATAAGATTTCAATCTGAAAGTTTAAAAATAGGAGATAAAAGCCCAACGTTCGTTAGTGAATTCAATTTTCCATATCACCACGTGCTTGGACTACTTCCTATTTTCATCTCCTTTCTTTTTTCTCCTTTGATCGGTGTGAATTTGTTTTGGCATCTAGATAATTTCAATTGCCTATACTTTAATCACTACAGTAAAGGTTTGACATTTGGGGGGACCTCATGAAGAAAGTTAGAGCAACTAAATTAGGAATCGACCGTTTGAAAAGGTCCTCAATAAAAATTTCTAAGGGCGGTCTCAGGCGATCGCTTCTCGTTGCGTTCATTAGCACTCTTTTCATAATCCTTTGCCTCTATTGTAATGCTAAATTAACAAAGACCCCCCACGTGCCCTTGGAGAATCCTGACAAAAAAACAAATGATATCTTTGTTCGCACCACAGAGCCTCGTGTTGTCATTTTCGTTTTGAGCAATCAAATTGATGATACACTTTGCTACTCAGTGGGCTCAGCCTACCTAAGCGGGCTGCCCGTGGTAGTAATCGGCTATGTGGAGCTGTCTGAAGGGTTGGAGTCCAAATTTGACCTCACCGAAAGAGCCATCGTTAATGCTGACCTAAATCCAAACGATGTGGTCATTATATTGGACTCCGAGACCCTCTTCACTGGTGGGGATTTTGATTCATTCCTTGATCGCTTCATCGCGCAGTCCGCCGCAACGTCGGAGGAGCTGGATGGACTAGCCGTACGGCAAGATTTTGCGATGGCACCGCTTTTAGTTGGCACGGAGTGTGGCTGTTTTCCAAAGAAGATCTACCATGATGTTTGTGCTTATCGATACAAGGTTACTTATGACAAAGTGCAGAGGTATGCTGAGGCGCACCCGAAACTTAACCTCACCTTGCTCTTCAATTTAGTACCACACCCTTACGTCAACTCGGGTGTTGTGGTTGCTCGTGTGTGGGCGTACAAGGAATTCGTTCAAAAGGCTAACCATTTTGCCAAAACACGGATCTCACCTTTAAATAACGAAAAGGAATGGAACTTGGATCAGACGATTTATGCGGCGCTCTATCTGGATCTCCTAACATGGGAAATCGAGCAGGATGTCTTCTTGATGCCAGTGAATGAACGCGAGGTAGCGCAGTCACCCCACGGTGTTCGTGCAGGATTCCTTGAGTTAGACTTCGCCAATGCGTTTTCGTCCCATCTTTCTAAAGAAACCAACTCCCTTTTCGAGCTACACAATGAGCACTGGGTAAAGCACCTGTCACCGGACGACGGACCGATGCCCCCCTACTCGCGCAACTTCACTGATTTTATAAGTATGAGTCAGTATGTTGCCGGCCTTTACAACCAGGCGTACACCGTAAGTGGTGGCGCGATCTTCATTAATCATACGGTGCCCATGATGGTTAACGCGAAAAGGGTAGAGAATGATGTGATTTATCTCATCTTGACACCACCGCTCTTGGCGCTCAAACTGAGGCCTATCGACACCATGAACAACACGATACGTCGTACGTTTCCAGTGGTTATTCATACAGGAAACCTTGAATCACGTTTCTTAACTTTGAAGCGCCTGAAGCATGCTTCAGTGGGTCTGGGGTGGTTTACAGCGATGGTGCATAACTCATGCATCCATTTTCACGCCATGGAGCATTTAGCATCCCTTCCGTTGTTTATATACGAGCGTGACAATATCATACGAAAATCCTACTTCTCCCAATGTCATCTCCCGTTCGAAGAAACCATAGAGAAGCTAGGAGTTCGTTGAATTCGCTTACTGATTCTATTTTGTACTACTTTGTGATATTCCTATTTTATATGCTACTTTGTTATCCGATGGAAAAAGAGTCGAGAATACCCTTCAGCTGTTCCGATATAAATATAGAATGCAACATTGGTTCTAACGTGGCGTTTTCTTACTTTTCTATTCTACTCACCTTATTATTTACCTTCTTCATGGAATAGTGGTGGATGGAAGTTCTCAAGACGTTTATACTTTGACCCAAATTGTATATGAAATGTAAAGTCATCTGAATCCTTAAGGCTATGTACCTAAGTTCAAATCTGGGTTATTGGTGTAGGAATTGCAAACTAAAGGAAAGAACTTCGAACCCTATAATGAGACCTCTAAAGTAGTTGGTATTTTTCTGAAGTATTTTTTTAATTAATTACAGTAATGACAAGGATGTTGGCATATGTGTGAGATGATATCCGAAACCTATTTTTGTGTTTACTAGTCTTTTATATAACCTGAGGGGGAGAGGAAAGGGGGAGAAAGAGGGGAAGGACTATCCTGACATTCGGCACCTGTTAGTGAAGGATGTTGAGCCTTGTCTCTACAGCATAGAAATAGGGTCCACCTATTTATTTTCCATGTATCCAAAATTATTATATCGTGCTTCGACGTGCATTGTTTGTTGTAGATGGAAAATAATCTACACCCTAATTATTTTAGTTAAAATATTAAGTAAAATGAAGCATTGCAAGATTAGTTAAAATTACATACGATACCATGGTAAAGGGGGAATCCATGATATTTTGTAGGCGCGGTGTCCCCTAGAAATTGCTTTCTTTTTTTGGTTAAAGAATAACATCAACTTTTTTCAAATAAAGAATAAACCATGTACTCGATAACTCACTCTAACTCAAACTAGCATAGACCCCAATAGAATTAATCACGCTTCATAATCTAATTGGTTATGAAATCTCAACATTTTTTATCTGGTTGCTTTATTTTGCTGAAGGGCACAAATAGCATTCTCTAGAATTCTAATAGTTTCTATCCAATAATGCGTATGATTCCTATCAGGCTTTGAGCCTCTGTGAAGGGCAGGGGGCGATTCTGCGGCAGAGCGAGTCTGTTGTCGCACTTGTCAAGGGGCTTTTGTGGAGTTGTCCTACATTCTTTGAGCGTTAATGGGGCCTCGATGGGTAAGATACCTTTCTTTTTTGTGAAGTGGAAACCTTTCCGTGCTTACGAAAGGTTTTCGTCATTCACTTAAACGCGTTAAAGGAGAAGGCGTGGAAAAATTTGAATGAGACTAGGGAACGAGTTAGGGCGAGGTATGTCGAGGGGGTATGAAGTTTTGGAATTCACAATGAATCCCATTTTTTGGCCTTTTACTCTAACCCAAACAAAAAATTCGTAGGAATTCACATGACTATCGAATTGGGGGGGGGGGTCTAAAAATCTAAATTAAAGGAATCGAACCTGCACCAAACAGGTCCTATGAATGGTGTTTTACTGTTTGAGCCGTGAGTTCAGGCTCGGACGGATATTGGGGTTTGGATTGGGGTGTTTGTTCAAATCCAATTAGAATGTCATATCCAGTTCTTGATTTTATGATTGGTCCCAAAGTGGTTGAGGTGCAATATTTTGAAAACAACACGACTATTGATGGAGCGTAACATCACCCCTACCTAGTTTATACCTATTTTAGGAAACCAAACACCATCAGACCACAAATCATTAGGATCAGATATGCCAAACACACTTTTGGGATAACATGGGTTTATCCCCATTTTGGATTAATAATAAATACCAAATTTGCTTCAACAGGGGCATTCCACATCGCTTTATGTTTTGTATTTCCAACATACTTATATCCTAACCCTATCCAACTCCAATTTTACGCATGTTTTAAAGAAGAATGAAATTATATGGACCAACCAATCACTTAGATGATATAAAAATTCTAAAGAACCAAACAGTGTTTGATAATAAAGAAAAACAAAGTTAAGAACCCACGCCAACATCAAATCCCGCACCCCCCTCTCTACAATTACTTTAACCGTGCTATAAATTACAAAAATACTCGATATTGTCCAGCCAAAGCACTTTTTAATTCCATTTGGCCCATATATAACATAACATATGCCATTTTTATTTAAATGGGCGATTCCTTTTCGTTTTTCAATATCCATAACAATTGGAAACAATGTAGAAAAATAAAGGTTATAAAGGCAAATGGGTGGAATAAAATTTAACATAAAACCATCGAGTAAAATACCCGAAACAAACCCCATTAATACCATATGGGCGAATAAAAACGCCCCCTTCGCATGACGCGACCATTTGGAAAGTTAAAGACCATTCGCGTTTTTTACGTATGATGGAACCTAACTTTACCTTCTTTGAAAACAATTATTCATTCTAATTTAAAAAAAAATATAAGATCATACGCTTATATATTTTCAAAACAACGGGGAACATTATAACCACACCTTATGGATTATCCATTAGAGTTATTCACCAGTAAAAAAATTTAAGAAAAATCTTAGCCCATGTTATTCGACCATATAAATTTACACTAAAATTAAGCGGGGGCAAAAATGAAGTCAGAATGAAAGTTTTTAAAATCGAAATAGTATTCTCTAAAATACTAGAGTATAGGCCCGAACTTATAAAAAAATATGAAAATTTTAAAATAAACCCCAAAATGTTATATCTAGGTTTTGTTTCCGATGGCGATAAATTAATATAAGGATCAAAAATTATGACTAGGATATTGGTTATGGTATTTCACCCCCCCCCCCTTAAAACGAAAGAACCCGAAATATATTGGGGTTCCCCAACCCCAGACGCGGCACCAGGCTCTTCATGTGACGTTCCAATTAAAATTCATCCCAACAGCCGCTTCTTTTACAGTCCCATTCGCCCATCACCCGCCCAATATCCAAGTTGTCTTTATAACGACGGTCAAATTCATCTTCACTATCTTCAACCAAAGTCCTAATAAAACATAATGGAATTCAAATAACTCACCATCAGCATCCATAAAACATTTGTGTCATCCACATACTGTTATTACCGACACAAAGGATTCAATCCCGATGAATAAAATCTTTTCTGCTTAAAGGATGGTTCTGGATAGGGTAGGAAAGCGCCCTCGCCAGCTTCAAATGGACGCCCGAAAGCGCCATGACAAAACCTGAATAGACCCAATTTTTCTCAGAAAACATGATAAGAACGCACCCCCCCATGAGAACATAGTCACGGTCAAATGTTTAACCCCATTGTTTGTATCCCCCATGCTGGAAAAAGATTTGTTTTTGAAAAAAAAGAATTCACATGGGAAGGCCTTTCGAATTAAGCACATTTGACCGAAAAACACCAAAAAATCGAGCCACTTTCACAAAATCTGACGATTTTGCAAAAGCTCCCCCCGTTATACTAGAACAATTTTTCGGGGTCCTATTAAACCCAAAGTTCACCCAGGGGCTTTCGACACCAAAACCAAGCCAATTTTTTTTACACCATATAACAAATATCACCCTATAAAACCCCCATGCCCCATCGAACCGCATACCCCAGTTCATGCCTCCGCTATGAAACTTTTATTTTCAAAACAACATTCAATTATAAACAATCCGTAACATTACTTATTTTTTGGCCCTGTAGAGATTCATAAAACCAATCAAACACACAAAAATATGGTTAGGGTTGGCGAGATGTTTTTCGAGAAGGCATGAATTGTTGCTATCTAAAATGAATCCGGATTACCAACCGTTAACCAAAACCCAATTTTAAATAGCAAATATCTGAGGGTATTTTTTTTTACCTGTTGATAAATATAATAATATATTTTAATTCGATTCGTGTTCCCCACAAAACCCGATTCAGTCTATTCCGAGAGCCTCCCCCAGAATGAATAAATATGTTTTCCTATTTATTTTGTGAATAATTTTCATTTTTTTATTATTATTCCATCATTAATAAATTAAAATCCCACCCACCCTATTTATTTTTAGGGAATTATTTTTTATATAATATATTTATATGCCCCCCAAAACCCGAACTATCCATTATACCATTTTAAACATCACAACATCCTATGAATTATTATATGGATTTTTTTAGAATTCCCCCCAAATGGAAAGCCTTCAAATATAAAAAGAATGAATGGTGTGAAAATATTAATACCAAGAAAAATAAAAAAACTAAAAATATCCACCATATTTGTTTATTTTTCATCATAAACACTAATTTTTAATAAACTTGGTATCGCTTTGATGGAAAAAAAACATAAATAGAATCCGAACGCATTGGAAATAATCCAGGCCCAACAAAAGATCAAAGAAAAATTCAACAACCAAATACCGAGGTTTATAAATGTTAAGATATTGTTAATATATTCAACATAAAAATAAATTAAGCAATCGCCATAAAAATTAAAAATAACACAATTAAATCATCATAAAAATAATATTTAAACCCCCATTTAATATATCCCGATGGAAAATTTTCAGATTGATTATCCGACAAAAGTCAAACGGATTCCTCAAATTATCAAAACAGTTTTATTAAAGACTCCACATCTTCTATTTCGTATTATCAAACAACCAAATCCGATCACGAATATAAAGCACCGCAAAAGGAACGACAACCAATCCCAATTGGCAAAGATTAATCAGAAACCCCCCCACATTCACGATGATTAACGCCATTTAAACTACAAAATCAACCTATAACGAAGAATAAATTCTAAACTTCATGTAAATGCAAATAATCTTTTAATAACACCATAAACAATAATTCACCACCAAACAAATTTAGCACCAATCATATCGAAAAAATCCATTTGTTGATGACAATAATTCATCCCAAGAAATAATTGAAAAGTTAAAAAAAATAAAACATCAAAATTCTATAAATTTTATTCTCAGAGTTTAAAACGAACAACAACAGGCGAATAAATGTGAAATTTAACCAACAAAATTTATATCAAACAAACAAAAACACTCCCCCAAAAAAAAAAATCCAAAAATCCGGATCGACAAAACTTCAGGATTTCTGACATAACCACACCATCGTTAAACTTCAAATTAAACGGAAACCCAAACCAATATTCGTGTTTATATGGTAAAACATTTAGTATTTATTAAAATTATACAATAGTTCTTGTATTTTCAAAAAAAATCACCAACAACTTTCCACATACATCCAAAAGGGTTCATTGAATTTAGAATGAACTATGCGGATTTCAAGGCCAAAAATCCAAATTTCATAACAACAAATCAAATATTTCAATCTTATTTGATTTGGGTGATCAAAATCTTGCCCACATTAAAAATAAAAATAAAAAACAAATACCCCATTACAACAAATATCATTTGAATGTTAAACAGCTTGAATTTTTATTTAAATATATACCAAATATTCAGATTCCACTATAGATACCATGGGGGAAGAAATCACCAAAGATTACACAAACATTATCTTAAAATCATGACAACAACATAAAATCGATATATTCGAAAGATAAAAAGAATGAATAAAAAAAATTGGTGATGGGAATCGGAATTAAACGTAAATAAATAATTCCCCCGCATCTATCCGATTCTAAAATAAGGCATATAAATTTCCATTGTAAATTGGAATGAGCTTAATCTCTCATTAAAAAAATTTGGCACACTTTAAATATGAAAGACGAATGTTCCATAAACCATTCTATCATATGATTATTTTCCATAATGCATAAAATTATACGTATTTTATGAATAAAGACAAATGAAATATCATTTTAATTGATGAAATTGAAAATGATACAAACACTATTGAAATACATAGAAAAACAAACGATTTCCCTTAAAGCGTATTTTTTTATTGTTTTTAATATAAATTTATAATTTTTTTTCTAATTTATTCAATCGTGATAATTATTCTTGATTTTAAGAAATGATTAGATTTACACCAACCAAATACCCTCTTTTTTTCAAAAATAAATTGATTCCGCCATTCCTCCACCACCGGCCTTTGTCCTTTAAAAAAAGTTTTAAGATTTTCACACGCGGAATATTTTGAGTTTATTTATTAAATCAATCAATCATAAATTATTAATTAATACAAAATATCTCTTATACCTTCGCTTTTTATTAATTATGAATGAATTTTAGGTTTAAATGAAAAATGAGATTAGGCCAAAGCGAAATATTTTAATCAACGCCTTCCAAAAAATCTACAGTTTAGTGATTTATTTTCACCCCAACAAATTCGTTAAAACCAACCTTGGTCTACCAATCCACGAAATATTTCAATACATTCATCGTGCCAAACGGCGCCGATAACGAGAATCAAAAACCGTTTACATTCCCGAAAATGATAAACAGAACTAACCACCCACATCCAATACATTCACCAAAAACCCATTATTCATATTGATAATTAATAATCCATATGTAATGGAGCAGACCTTTAATTTTATAGAAATATCCATTCATTTTTATAATATCAACTTTAAAAAATGGTTAATAAGAATGTGTCGCCAAAAATCATAATTTGAGGTGGACCAAATCCTAACAAACCCGATAAATTATACACACAAATGCAAAACAAATCAGCCGAATCGTTTATGGATCATGCTTTGCGAGGGATGTGTGTGTAATAAAAGAATATACTTTTTTTTTTTTTTCTAAATTTTTACCCAATCCCGTATAAAAAAACTTATATAGAATTCTTATAATCATACTCGATGAAATTAACAAATAAAAATGGTATATCAAATTTTATTTTTATTTAAGTTTGGATTATATATATGAATTAAATACTAAAATTATTAAGAAAACTTTAAAATAATATTTAAACCCTAATATTTATTTGATTTTTTTTCCGCATATAACAATATATTATGGCACTTCATTTTCAATATATGGGGGTTTTTAAGTTTTTCTTATAGCGACCATCTCCTCTTGAATTTTTTTAAATTGTGAAAATGAAAATTAAACCTATATCAAATCTCGAAGCATTTGAGGGCAAAGATTATACCAACTGGTATAACCCAATTTGATAAGAATCGGAAAAATAACACATCTAATTTAGATCTTTTCTTATTTATAGGGTAAAATAAAATAAACATCCGCAAGGAATAATTTTAATGATAAAACCATACTTTCAAATCTATATTGATGTATAAAATCATTTTCGAATTACGATACGACCCTAAACCGTTTCACAATATCAAATTGAACATTCAAAATCCCAAACGTCTTTGGTTTATACGGATTCATTTAATTTTGAAAATTTATTTTATTGATAAACATTCCTCCCAATTTCACATTGAAATTTATGATAATTTGGATTAAATATTCGGATTTTTATAAAAGAAAAAAAATATATTAAACTTGATTAATTTAAAGTTTGCCATAATTCACAAATATATAAATATGTAAAATAAAATCCAAACTTATGCCACAGCCATTATGACAACCCATATATAAAATTTTAATTCACCGCATAGGCTAATATTTTTTAATAAAAATATACAATTAACAATTTTTTCAGATGATTTATCGGAAGTTAATCAAATATTCTTCAGTAAAGTCGATATCTGTTATTCAAAAGTATAAAGGGTGTTGGGGCTATTCAAATTTCAATAAAGAATTCAATAATGATACTTAAATTTTCTCAAAAATGAAAACTAAAAACTATATCTTGACCGCTTTTATATAATACGGCATTGGAATATAAGCTAATCTTATTTAAATTCCACAGAAATGACCGATTTCCAAACTAAATATCTTTTTGGCAATTTAATACTTGGAAATGCCAAAATTCTAACCATTAGGGATTCTTTAAACTATAAAACCCCTATGAATCTTACCCCCATAACCGAACATGAAAATGATTTTGCCAATTTACCGGAATCAAAACCAATTGAAAAAAAGCACACCCCACCACACAAGACCATAGAAAACAAAAAGTTTCTAATATCCAAACGAATTTGATTTGAACGGAATTCTTATGCCAACCATTAAGTTCAAAAATAACATCAAACTGATATATTATTTAAAATGGAAATATGACTTGTTTGTCAATATGGTAAACTTCTAGATAACATTTTTTTCCACTAAATATCCTACGAAATTATGATTTTAATGAAATAATTTAGATTATTATTAGGGATGAACTAAAAAAAAATAAGACTCCGATATCCACGACACCAAAAATGTTAAAAATGTGAAAAAATATATTTACCCCATCAATAATAAATAGTTTAAGAAGATCAATATAATTTCAATATCATTTTTCTGATGATTTCATAGAATGAAATACCTTTTCTTTATTTGTGGGTCATTCCAGTCCACCAAATAACTTATATTTTTCTAACAAAATATTTTATCCATTTTTTTAATAATGCATAAAAACGTTGATGATTTACCGACCATAAGCAAACCAATCGATTATTATTTTTCAAGCATTTAGTCATCGCCCCCCCGTTATACTTTCTATTTAAAAAAAGACCTTTGAATTTATCCCACCCCAACATCCCCCCCGGGGTTTCATCCAAATTATTTCAAATCGCGCCACATCTTTTAATTTGGTCTAATGAATTCCCATAAAAAAAAAATCAGAGATCTGTTCCGAGGGGTCTTATTATAATTCCATTGAATGGGCAACATGGAAACGGGAAAACTTGAACTTTTTAATCCACCCTATCAACATTATTTCCAAAAACAACAACATCGGAATCGTTGATATATTTGAACAATTTGTAACAAACTTATCCCCCTATTGACGCCAAAAGTAAAAATCCATATCCCTTTTCCACCCAAACCAATGGAACACATATTTAGAAAAGGCGATATTTTCTATACGCGCACCATGCCCATGTAAAAAATTTTATCGATTCAATACCCATTTGGATTTGACCAAATTATAACCGAAACCAAAGTCCGAAACATCCAACAATCAATATTGTTTAAAGAATCCACCACATCCAATATAAACTTACCACATTTTTTGGTACTTTATTCCCACAAAACTTAAAACCCTTCTTCCGAAAATAACCCAAACTCAATTGTCAACAAACAACCTCGGTCCTACCCGAATATTCATCTTCCCAGGTTTTTCATCCAGAAAATGGTCCGTCGAATGGATTATTTTCATTGAATACCAATTAAAGCCGTTTATTTAAATCGATGTTTTCATATTATAAATTTATGGGGATAATCCGAGCGCATGCATTTTTCTCATTTTATGCACCGGGTTTTCGTTCACCTAGAAAAAAATAATTATATTCGGGCCAATTATTTTCATTGTCAATCGAAAGGGGTGGTTTTGTGGAGTTTTATTCGATCCCCATGCTCCTGACGTTTTTAAAATTTTGGTTTGATTGTTTTGTGTTTTCAATCCAGTTCCGAGACGCCGTGCTTCTATTTTTCATGTCTCCAGGGTGATTTTTGGTTCGGAATAGATTCCATTTAGAAAGGCCCGTTAAGGGGTTTCTTAACAATTAAATATTTATGTCAAAAAACAAATCTTTTTTTTTTCGGTAGCCTCTTTTTCCGCTTATATAACGAAATTTGGATAAAAAAAACTCACAAATTTCGGCCGCAAAAATAAAATAAATTCACAGAAACCAAAGAATCATTGGTCAAGCGATTTTTCATTTTTTTCTACTTTTTGGTAAAAAATAAGTGGGATTTTTCCATCATCTTATAATAGAAATTGGGGGTTTTGGTGATTTTATTATTTTTATATAGTGATTCGGAAATGGAAAAAATCAACCACCGTTTATTCTGAAAGGATTGTCCCCGATTATAAAATATTTAATT